TCTATCTATCTATCTATCTATCTATCTATCTATCTATCTATCTATCTTCTATCTTCTATCTAATCTATCTACCTACCTACTTACCTACCCACAGGTGGAACAATCCTGTAATCCTAGAACTTGGGAAGCTAAAGCAGGAAGATTAGATCTTGATAAAAGTCTATCTTATAAACCAAACTGAACCAAAATTGCCTTAAAAGCCAATGCCATATTTTCTTGTGTGTTTTCTGTTTATTTTTGTAAAATCAAAGTATTTGTATACCGAGACATTCCTAGAGGAAGGAAGTTTAGTAAAAGCCTTCTGTAATTTTTGTGCATTTCTTTTAATTGACTAATGAGCCAGTCCATGCTTCATTCACAAAGCACGTTCAAGCCATTCTTGTCTAAAAAGACTACCATACAAACTGCAGAAGTCTCAGAGGAAGCTGTGCCCACAGGAATAGCTGGCCTGAGCCAGGGGAAGTTCACTAACACCTGACTGACAGTGGAGAAGCCTGCATAGGCCAAAACTAGGCCCTCTGAATGTGAATGACAGTTGTTTGGCTGGGACAGTCAGTGGGGCCCCTGGCCCTGGGACCAGAATTTATCCCTAGTGCTTGAGCTGCCTTTTTGGAGCCCATTCTCTTTGGAGGGAGGATAATTTGCTCAGTCTAGACATAGGGGGAACTTGGTCCTGCCTCAAAGTGATGTGCTAAACTTTTTTTATTTCCTTTGGGAAGCCTTACTCTTTCTGAGGAGTGGATGGGGGTGGGGTAGGTGGTAGACGGGGGGGGGGGGGGGACTGGAAGAGAGAGAGAGAGAGAGAGACAGAGAGAGAGAGAGAGAGAGAGGGAGGGAGGGAGGGATGTGGAATGGTATGTAAAAAGAGAAAACATTATTTCAAAAACTAAATAAAAAATAATAATATACAAAAAAGAAGTATGCAAATTAATCTTCTAGTGCATTTCTTAATGTGTTACTCTTTGTGAGTCTCCCTGGATGAACCCTATTATTAACATTGGGAGATACAAGCTTGTTTTGATGTTTTTAAGGGTGCTATGGATAGATATTCATATTTTTAAAGAAATTCTATTTTTTAAGTAAAAGGTCAATGTTACTGACTTTAATACCTTAGTTATTTTCATGTGTTAGGCAACTGTTCTTACAGCTTGGCATGGTTTTCACCCTTGTACTACACAGACAAGCTGCTAAGTTATCATTTTAGGTAGATATTGAATATGAGAAGCATATTCTTCCAGCCTCATAGCTGTGGGATTCTGGGATAGTCTGTGTAGTGAATTCAATAATAGTGTGGTAGTAAAAGAATGTACTCCTAAGTGTAGAATAAAGCACACTAAGAGGTATGCCTGGCATATACATCTTTCTCTGGAATTTATTCCCATCAAGTATGTGTTTATTGAGTTATGGAATTTTAGATAAAGTAAAAAAGGTTGGTTTCTTTCAAAACAGTGAGCACCGTTATGGTATAGTGAGAGGAATATTTAATCAGGAGAAAAGATATTTCTTAGCCCTAAGAGTTCTGTGAGCTCAGGAGTTTGGAATCATGGAGTTGAGAGATCCTCTAGAAGGAAATGCAGATGCCCTCCGTGCTACATCACGTGATCCCTTGTGGAATTTCCTTCTCCATCATTACTATCTACATGGTCTTAGTTTCCTTACTTTAGCCTTGAATTATTTGTCCTTTTACCCTTTGTTTACAATTTCCAAATTCGTGCAGAAGAGTGGGCCTTACATCACTTGCATGTCTTCCATAGAAGATAAAGGTCATCCCAAAGAGTCACATGTTTACATGTGACCTTCCCTTCCTCTCTGCTCTCTCTTCTTACATTCCTCCTTTCTTCCTAGCTTCTTTTCATCTGTTATTTGGTTGTTTCATCAGTCAAGAAGATTTGAAGAGAACGACCCTAAATTTCTATGTGGTAGAAGTGGTAGAGTGTCTACAGAAAGTCTCCAAAGATAGTCATTTTGAAAAGTGACTGTCAGGGGTGGCTGGTGTCTTATTTAAACCGCAATTTTATTGCCTTATGGGGCTTGTTGTCTTTTTTAGAAAAAAGATTTCTGTACTGTTTGATATTTGTTTTCAGGTCTGCCTTAATTTACCTATCAAAAAATATATATCAATGACTCCTTCTTTCTACCCAACATACAGATATAACTTTTATAGTATTTATTTAATTTTTAAAAATTTCATTGCTTTTAGAGGAAAATGAAGATAATCTCAAACATTGTTTTTTGTTTGTTTGTTTTGTTTATGAGACAAGGTTTCTCTGTAGCTTTGAAACCTGTCCTGGAACTAGCTCTTGTAGAACAGGCTGGTCTCAAACTCATAGAGATCCACCTACCTCTGCCTCCTGAGTGCTGGGATTAAAGGCCTGCACCACCACCACCTGGCTCACACATTCTTATTTATATTTGAATGCTTAACGCTAGTCATTGTGGTTCTTTGTTATGTGTATATATGAGTGCTTGTATGCTTATACATACCTCATATGCATGCTTGGTGCCCATGGAAGCCACAATAGGGTGTCAGGTTCCCAGTAGCTGGGATTATAGTCAACCTCAATGGGTGGTGGGAACCAGAGATGTAGGTCCTCTGAAAGAGTCCTCTTAAATACTGAGCCATGCTTCCAGCTCTGTAACTGTACTGTTAAGAGGGTGTGTGGCACATCAAAGTGATACAACACAATTCTAACAGTTATCTCTACAAAGGTGTGCAGTATGAACACATGCATATTCATACAGTTAATATTTTTGTATTAATATGTATATCATATATGTATATACACAAGTTAATCCATATTCGTCTTATTTCTTTACCTGATGATATAGTAAAACATTTAAATTATAACTATATTAACTACTAGTATCAACTGTGAATAGAGAAATAGTTCAAGCTTGGAAAAGTAATTTCCAAAGTATATAAAATTATTGTTTCAGTTATAAGGATTTCTTATTTAAATTGTTAAGATAATCTTTTGGTGGCAGGCAAAGAGTGTTTTAGAAAGAAGAGAAAGTTAAGGTACTCTTAACCATTAAATCACGTGATTACAAATGGATTTTCTCTATATTTTACAAGTCTATATATTTTCCAGATGTTGATATTGAACACTTGGTGAATATCCATAACAAAATAAATATAAAATTGACATTACTCGGCAGGGGGATGCTGAGAGATGGTTCGGTGGGTTAAGGCACCTGTGGCCAAGCCAAAGGAGCGGAGTTCAAACCCCTGGTAGAAGGAGAAAACCAATCCCCACATGTTATCTTCTGACTGCCACATGCATGGAGATATATACAATAATTAAAATGTAAAAACATTGACGTCATTGAATTACTATACCGTTTAGCTGCAAGTCATCAGGGGAATGCTACTGAAGAATTATTGTTTATTTTTACTTACAAAATAATTTGTTTTGTTGTTGTTGTTTTTTCTCCTTAGGGAGATTATGGTGGCCCACTCATTTGTGAGCAACACAAAATGAAAATGGTTCTTGGTGTCATTGTTCCTGGCCGTGGATGTGCCATCCCAAATCGCCCTGGCATTTTTGTCCGAGTAGCATATTACGCAAAGTGGATGCACAAAGTAATTTTGACATACAAATTGTAATAGCCGTAGAAGAAGCCAGTGTGTTGGAAACATCCATCTATACATGAGGATTTCAGAGACGTCGAGATTAAAATGTAACCTAAACCAATCCTAAAACATCTACTTGAGTGTTGTGAGTGTTCAGAAACTCATTAATATATATGGGTGTTTTCTGTTGTTCTGTTTGTCAGTGTTATGTTGTAAATGTTGAAGTGAATTAAGGTACCTGTAAGTGCAGTAACATATCTCCTGAAGATACTTGAACGGATTCAAAAATGCAATAGTTGCTAGATGCTAAGAGATTTAAAGGTTAAGGTTGATTATCATTCTATGCTGCTTTTCAGGTTAATATCTTAATGATGAATCAATCGTAAGTTAAACATCATTTTAACCCCACCGAAACCAATCTGTACTTTGTGTTTTTAACTTGTAACTCTATATTAAATTATATTACACTTCATATGGCACATGTTATAGTTCATTCATTTTTTTCACAACATGTATCCTGCAATACTGGCACACAAACCACCTTTCATGAAAACAGATGACCATAACAAATGGCTGAATACACATGCAGTAATATTACAGCTTGAACCATGATGTATCTAGTGTAATATCTAAATGTTTTGGATGTATGTATCTATATTTATTCGAAAATGTAAAGTTTTTGAAAGATCAGTGGGAATATTCAGGAAAGGTACAAAGTATAAGTGTTGATCCTTTGTACATATCACATGTGACCTCCACTGGTAAGTGTTCATGGTCAGGACAGGACCCATAGGTTAAAAGAATGACTAGCCTGTATGTTTATTTATATTTATCAGCCTAGTTATTTTGTGTGCTCTCTAATTCCTAAAAAGCAGAAAGTAATTTGTGTACTTGTCTTATTTCTTTCCTCCAAATTTGAGCTACCTATTTATGAAGGATATTGGTAGATCCATTTTCTTAAAACATTTATTCAGCTTTCAAGCATGTCTCAATGAAGAAATTTGAAAGTGTCTTTGTCTTTAAAAGATGTATTTATATGGGTTAGTATTAAAACTTGCTGCTATGATTGCCTTCTAGCTCTCCTTAAATTAAAAAAAATGATTTAGCATAAAAATAACATGTCTGCAAAACTTTGTGACCATACCTTCATTAAATTTTACTTTGAAATATTTTGAAGAAAAAAATTAAAATACTTTCCTTAATCTAAAAATTCTTATTCTTTGAGTAATAGAAAAAAATATGAAGTAAAATAGTTTTTCTAAATTCTTTAATTCAATGACTTTCAAAAGTATAATTGATTCTGAAAAATCAAATATGTTGGAAAGATTTCATATTTTCTCATTTCTTTTTAACAAAACTCTTAATGACATGGAAGAGTCATTTAGATTTTATAATCTATATAACATTTAAATTATATTTATTATTCTACTGGCCATGACTAGCTAAGAGCTGTATATACAGAAGTAGGATACTAAAACGTAATAAGACAGCTTCTAAGTTCTCAGTCTTCATGTGTACATCAAGATTATTAAAAGTTATAATTTGAGTGTTTTGAATCCAGTGTTCCCATTCTTGAGACTGAATTCTTTTAGAGTATCTGAAATCTGAAGTTTCAAAGGATGCCCTAATGCATTCGTAGAATTTCTGGAAGGCAATTCAGAAGTTCTTGCACAAAAACTATACACACACACACACACACACACACACACACACACACAAATGCATATATGTTTTTGATAGCATAGGTGCTGTGTTGATCAACAGTGGATGCAGAGAGACCCAGTGAATTGCTGTCCTTATCATTTTACATCCATTACATTTTCTTTCCTTTTGCAACATGTCATTCAAACAAGGCATAAATTTCAAAGATATATTATTGAAATATTAAGGTCCTTCTCATAGCTTCTTACTGAATTGAATAGATTTCAATGTTACATATAAATTATATTGATAAAGCTGTTATGATAATTATGATACATTAACATACTAACATTTTACAATACTTCCTACAGTGTATTTTTTGTAATTATCCATGAGAAGAGGAACAGAAATTACCTAGAAACAATATGCAGTCAAGTTTTTAGATACTTTGGAATCAGTGTTTCTACTTTTAGTGAAAAACAAACAAATATGTCAAAAAGTCACCAACATGGTTTGTTAAGCAACTCTTCCCATTTTCTTTGCAATGGTCAAAGTCGGAGCTGACAGTGAACAAGATCCATAGGGTCTTACTTGCTAGAAAATGGTAGAGTTATTTTCTAAGCAACACTATATATGGGGTGGTTTTCTATGAATAAATTTCAAAGGAAAAGGAGAGAAAAATTTAGCTTATTTAGAAATCTATATTATTTTGTCTCATGGACAAGCAGCCCTTTTGAATTATGAGCTCCAAAGTTGGTTTTGTTTTGACTGGGTAAGAGTTACACACTGTCATAATTGTAGACATTTTCTTATGTCTGTAGGAATAGGAGTGTAAAACTAAAATCTTAGTCATGTGCCTCTGCTGTGCAGAGAGGTGATAATTCTTTTGTATATTTCTTTAATGTTATTGTAAAATGTAAAGTAACTTTTACCAATTTGCTGTGGGCAGGTCCTCAGTATAATTGTTTCTAGTGAGTTGGTCTCCATTCAAAGGCTCTGACTTGCCGCCTAAATGTTTCAAGCTACAGGAATGGGAAACACTGGATGGCAAGAAAAATGACAATAACGGCAATGTGTCAGAAAGGCTGTATTTCCTGTGGATGCTTTCTGCTGGTACCAATGGCACTGTGCGGAGCTGATGCTCCAGCTCCAGCATCCCTGAAAAAGAGCACTGTCAAGAACCAGTAGTCGCTGTCAGGCATTTTCTTTTCTCTTACAATACAAACACTAGCTTTGTAATAGGGAACGGAAAATGTCAATACTATATCATGCTAAGTAAAGGGAAACCTTAAATTGATTTAAAATAACTACTTCTACTCACTGAGTGTATACAACCACTCATTTACATTTATAGAAAACTCACAAAATAAAACGGATTTGGGTAAACACAATATATTTGCCTTTTTACAAAGAGTAATTGGCAATAAATCACTCTGCAAAAATTAAGTCCAAGTAAGAATATGTCTTTCAAAATTCAACTGAAGTTTGTACCAAGAACTTATTAATAAGAACCAAACAAACAAACAAAAACATCGAACTATCCCAGACCCTTACCTCTTGACAGTGCCATTTTTGCATAGGCTCATTTCTGTTTGTCCAGAAGGCTTCTGTCTTCAGAAGCTGAAAGCCGAATCCTGTGGCTATCACAGCGAGTCTGCCTATGTAAACAGGACAAGGGTAAGCTGCCGATTGAGTGGGATAGCTGGATGCTTACCCCAAAGAGAACACTGTGGTGATGGCTTGTATTATAAATTCTCTGTAGTTAATAAAGTTGTTATTTTTATAACCATAATTATATTGTTATTCTTAATAATAATAAAATATTTTACCAAATGTCTCCTTTCTCTTTTATAATCATACGTTTATGTAACTGTTCGAGGACTCTAAGGTGGCAACCAGCAACAACATGGGTTTAGTAGATAGAATTGACATACACTTTATCACGAGAAATACATAATTTCTGTATACAATTAAGTAAAAATTGCATATTTTTCTGCCTTCTTTCCATGGCACTGTCAGGGCTCTCGAAAAAATCATTACCATCTATAAACTTGAATATCTTCAAGTGTAAAGTAGGTTTATTTTACCATTATTTAGATTCGCTACGAAACTACTATGTTGCCTTTTGCAACGATACAGAGAATATTATAAATGTCCCTAATTTCCCATACAACTAGGTGTTATAAAATTGTTTATAAGTTTCAATTGAGCTATGCAATCTTTACAGGGTTATGGGATAATTTCACAATACATATGAGTCCAAAGAATGTATTTACTTAAATGTAGAAGAACTAATTATTAACTCTCTAAACAAGAGCTCTGTAAACCATTGATTATTTATACCTCTGCCGTACTGTCTCTCCATGACCCAAAGTAGCTAATTTTATATAGATTTCTTATTGCAAATGATGATTCTCATATATATAACTTCATAGGCACAGTGAGACAGCTTTTCATTTTTAATGGTATGCTTAAAGTTGATATGCACACTTATCCACTATGTCAGCATGATGTTTAAGAGTCTATACAACAAATTTTTAAAAATTCACTTTATTCTACAAGAGTTAGTTCCAGGACAGGCACCAAAGCTACACAGAGAAGCCCTGTCTCGACAAAGAAAACAAAACTAAAAATTCACTTTATCCTTATCTACAATCTATCTCTTGTATTCTTTTAAGTGAAGAGTCCAGAATTCTTTGAGAAATGTCGTTGCAACATTTCTCAGATAAGAGAGCAAACTTCATAGGTAAACTCAGAAAACGTGGGCTCCTAATACAACTTTGTTACTCTTCTGTACTGTGCTGCTCTAACTAATCTCAATTTTAAGTCTTAAATTTTTACAGTAATTATTAACACGCTTAAAGAACGGTAACTCGTTCATGCTTTCTTGTAGAAGTTCTCAGAGCTATTTTTATTGAGTGATCAGTATTGAAATGAACTTTTGGTTGCTGAATTAAGCCGATTTTTAATATGTTCTTTAACCTTTTCATTTAGTATTTGAGAATTGCACACATGTATGCAGTATATTTTGAGCACATTTCCCCATCCCCACAGCTCCTCCTGAATCCCTTCATATCCTCCTCCTGACATCACACCATTTATTATCATGAGCCACTGAGGCCAATTAGTGCCGCCCGCATACACATGTATGTGGGGAAGTCCACTGGGGCACCATAATTAATCGTTATTTGTCCAAGACCCAAAAGAATCATTTCAATCTGTATTTCCTCTATGCTTTGGTCCAGCAGTCCTATCGTGGTTCTCTGTCATTAATCTCATAAGAGTACTCTCCTTCACCTAGGCAATTCTAAACTAGCTCTCTACACCCTTTTAAGCAACGACCAGCTTGTCGTGTAGGAGTAGCAGCAAGCAGTTTACTCTAAGAAGCTTGGGATTGTCTTTTGCAGTTTACATTCACAAGTATCTCTGTTGCTGTAACATAAACGGGGGCCTGCTTGTTGGGGTTTCTGTCCAGCCCAGTACCCTAGCTGTTTAGTCCCAAAGAAAAACACACAGAGATCTCTATAAGTTATAAAGGTGATTGGCCCATTAGGTCAGGTTTCTTATTAGTTCTTGTTAATTATACTAACCCATCATTCTGATCTATTTTAGCCATATGACTCAGTACCTTTTTCAGTGGGGCAGGTCACATCCTGCTGCTTTGGTGATCTGGGCAGAAGTGGGAGGAATCAGCTTCCTCCTTCCCAGAATTCTCCTGTTCTCATTGCATCATTTCTACTTCCTGTCTGGTTTTCCCGCCTATCCTTCCTGCCTGGCCAATCAGCGTTTATTTAAAATACGATTGACAGACTACAGACAATTATCCTGCACCATGTTGCATATGTTATTTATGAAAGAAGAAGTTCACTGCAAGTTAAAGGTGTATTTGAAGAAATTAGGGAAGAAATTATGAAACCATCATCAACATGCTACTGCCTTAAGTATGTCGACTGAGATAGAAATAAAATAAAATAAAACTTACTTTTACTTCACGGAACTCAAAAAAAATGTAATAATAGGTTATAAATCAACTGTGTGCTCATTTTTGGTTTAAAATATAAAACATTAAAAACATAAGCCCTATAGCAACATGTGGGACCCCAGGCAAGCATTAGTTCTTCGTCGCTCTCTAATATTCTTGAATAATCAGTTTTTCATGCTCACTTCTTCTAACATTTTTAAATGTAATCCTTATGCCAGAGTTCACCAGAATTTTTTCTACCATCACTAAGCTTTCACATTTCATGTGGCTGCTGTTGTCTCTGCATTCTCAGCCCCAATCTAGAAGTCCCCCTCAGCCCCTAGAGTGCTTGTCCCTGCTCACCTGTACTTGGTTGTAGCTGCGCTGCGACTGTCCTGGGTCAGACTTGCTACAGTGGGCATTATTTTTGCTCTGCACTGTGTGACCCTGAGTTTATACTTCATAAACACCAGCAATGTCCTGTTATTAACATTTCTATAGTCTTGATTTTTCACAGTGTTTCACATATAATGGTGGTAAAAAATATCCATAATGAATAATAAAAAATGAGGTCTCTTTTTTGGAGACTTAATACTGTTTCTAAGAGAATTTGATTTGGATACAATTTATACAGTTGTCACTAAGAGTTATACATTGTAGATCTTACATTTAATCCAACTATTTAGATTTGAATTAGCAAATGGGGCTAATTTAAAATGTCCTATTAATTGCAGGTACTAGGTGACGCTTGGAAAATATTTTTTTCTTTATAACCTGATACACAGAAATTATGCATGATATGTGTGGGGCATCTTGTGATATTTTGGCAGTGTGTATAAAGTACAATGTTCAAATCAGATTAAGTGTATTTTCTTGAACACACATAATTTCTTTATGATAAATCATTCTGCTGTTGTTTAAATATGGAGGACATGTTTATTATCTAGGGTTTCCTCGTTGCTCAGTTGCACACCAGCATGCCTTGCTTTGGACTAAATGGAATTTAGTAGCCGTGGGTTAACTCTCATCGCCATTCCTCAACTTTACCCAGATTCTGGTATCCACCGTTCTCCTCTCACATCGATGAGACTGTATTTAAAAACCTAGTGTGTGAACAAGACTGTGGCGTTCGCCTCTCTGTTTGTTGCTTATTTCAAGAAACAGGATTATCTCCAGTTCCAGCCACGGTGCTGCAATTAGCAGAATTGAATTCATTTTGATGTCTTAAAAATACTCCACTGTGTCTATCTGCCACATCATTCAGTTGATGGATAGCTAGATTGATTTCTTACTTTGAATGAAAGTGCTGAAATGAGTTGGGGAGTGAGGATGCCCTGGTAGCAGACAGAGTTTATTACTAGCAATGGAATCTGTGGATTGAGTAGAGGTTCTGTTTTACGTGTCTGGGGAGTTTCCGTCTTGGTTTCCATGATGGCTGGGTTAATGGGAACCAGCATTCCCCTTCTCATACCCCGAAGCTCTAGTTTAGCTTTGTGGGTTTTCACAATAGTCATTCTTACGGTGAAATGATGGCTCATTGTGGTTGAATTTATGCTTCCACGATGATGTGGAGTATATTCTTTTAAAAAATATGTGTTGTCCATTTGCATCTTCTTTATAGCGTGTCTGTTGACACCTGCTTTCTGTTTTTTAATAACTGGGCTGGTTTTCCAGGCTTACAATTTCGCTGCCTTCAGCTGAGCTTTGTGCCCATGACCGCGTGTTGTCCTCCGGTCAGCTGTGCAGTTGAGATTTATTTTCCTGTCCTGTCCCGTGAGCTGTCTTTTCCACTTTGATGGTTTTCTTGGCTGTGTAGACGCTTCCCAGTTTGCCATCCTACTTTTATAATTCTGCTTTTGTTTCCCATTTTCTTTTTTTTTCTTAACTGAAAAATAAAAAACCACTTCCAATTGTAATGTGTTTTAAGTATTTTTTATATTAGTCCGATCAGATGTTCAGCACTGTTGTGATAACAGTGGTTATAACAGGGGGCATTCTAGTATTGATTCAGATCCTAAAGAGAAAATTTTCATCCTTACTGTATTTAGTATGATGTTAGCTCTGTTGCATATCATCTTTTTATCCATTTAGTTAATTAATTAATTTTTGGTTTTTCAAGACAGGGTTTCTCTGTAGCTTTGGAGCTTGTCCTGGAACTGGCTATTGTAGATCAGGCTGGCATTGAACTCACAGAGATCTGCCTGTCTCTGCCTCCCGAGTGCTGGGATTAAAGATGTCTGCAACCACTGCCTGGCAATGTATCATCTTTGTTAAGATGGGATACATTACTCCCATTACTAATTAAAAGCGTTACCATGAAGAAATGTTAAATTATATCAAATAATTTTCTGCTCCTCACAATGATCATATTGATGTTGCTCTTCATTCAATTGACATGATGTATCATGTACATTGTTTTGCATATGGAATGAAGCCTTGATCATGGTCAATAATTTGTAGGATTTGGTTTACTAATGTTCTAGAATATTTGCATCTATGTTTATCAGGAAGATTTTGAAGCACTTTCGTGTTTTTGTGTGCTTATCTAGTTTTAACATTAGCATAATCCTGCACAGAGATAACAGTTTAACATTCTGACATTTCTTAAAAAGTGAAGAATTATTGACTTTCAAAAAGTTAATGTTCTCCTATTTGTAGATTGATTTTAAAAATAAAAATGGGAAATTCAATTTTTATGGTTTTTGAAATTGTGATAATTGCACAGTTTTCTCTTAGTTCTCGCTCCAACATTTTCCATGCATGCTCTAGCTTTCTTTCAAATTCCTGGCCTCTTTTTCTTTAGTTGTTTCATATTAAATACATTATCGACCTGTATAAATTCCTAAATACAATCTTCTTATTCAGGATTGAT